TTTGGAAATGTTGGGGACCATAGGGGCCGCACAGTAGCCCAATAACATTACTAATGTTCATGTGAATATTACATATCACAGGTCACATGGACTGAGTGTCTAGGACTTTCACATACATGATCTCATTTAACTCCAAGACAACCCTGTGAGGTAGTACGTCCGCTTTCCCCAGCACAGGGGCTGGAGCCAAGGGTAGAGAAACAGAGCAGAGAGGGAGAAAACGGCCACTGATGGCTGGTTCTAATGCCCCAGATCAACTGCTACATTTCCTCAACCCTCCAGGAGACAGCTTCTGGAACAATCCTTTTCTTTGGAATACTCTAGAAGGAATGTAACCTATACAAACACAACCATTATGTACCTATACAAATAGGAAACCTCAACAAAACTATTGTAAAGGGGCAGGCAGATTCTATGGTAAACTACCTATACTTGCCGTATTCTACCAAAAACCAAATCTCCAAAAAATTATGCCAAAGATATGAACATTTAATAAAGTGATGATGGCCAGGAGCTTAGGGATCAAAGTCGCTGCAATGATGGATGCAGTGACAGTATTAAAGCCAAGGGCATGGGAGGTACAGGGGTTGGGGCAGGGAAGGCTCAGGGTATGCTGGTAAGGACAGATAGTGAAAGGGCATAAGATGGAGGTGATATACCCAATGAGCAGTCATTTTAACACTGCATAGTTCTGTCATGTTCTTCTAGCAGTTCACTTTAATTTACTCTCTAATCACTAGCCAATGACAGAACCAGTTTCTCAGAGGTAGCTATTGATAATTGTTTTACAACTTCCTCCCCAGCCTGTTTTATAAACAAGTTAACCTAATCAGCCATTTCTGACCTTCATGACAGACCTCATCAACAGGGCAGTAATCATGTGACTCATCTACCTAATTGTCTGTTGTCCATAACCTGATGTTAGTACCTGTGCTTACCTGCCCTCTGTGATGACATGGAGCAGATCACCACCCAATCACCTTAATGACCTGTCACCATCAAGGATAAGATTTAAAAGGCATTCAACTTTAAGTAACAGTATCCATTGTTTTGTTAAGCATGTGCTCTTTGAGCTATGGCCCTCTATCTTGGGGGGAGAGGGTGAATCTCCTCTCTCTAATTTACTTTCTAAATAAACTATAATTTATTTACTTCTGTGTAATTCTTTGCATCTTTCATGCAGTACCAGATTGCAGACAGCCCCCCACTGGCCTGACCCAACATTTTGGAGGTCTCTAACATTTTTGGAAGTTCTACTGAGATTCTAGTTCCCAACATTTTTGGAGGTTCCACCAAGTTGGTGACCTAACAGAAAGCAATGGGTATTGCAAAGCACATAACTTTGCTAAGTTTTCTGTGTATCTCCCAGGATTTTTTTTTATGTTTAATATTTTGTCATACAACAGGCACAAAGCATTTTTTAAAAATTATTGCAACTACTGATAGATCAATGGCAAGTTGTTGGAATTAAAATTTATTTTAAAATGTTAATTACAAGTAGTCCTAATTGCTTTTAGCTAGCCACACTGCACTTCTTTCTGCATGAAGAAAAGTTTGGAACCCTAGTATTTAATTATTTCTTTTCTTATAAAGAAAGTCGATGAGAAAGTAGAAGAGATGTTACCAGGGCTGGGGGAGATGGGGAAGTGGGTGTTAGTATTTAACAGATACAGAGCTTCACTTTGGGAGAATGAAAATGTTGTGAAGATGGGCACGGAGGCTCATGCCTGTAATCTTAGCACTTTGGGAGGCAGAGGTGAGAGGACTGAGTCCAGGGGTTCGAGACCAGTCTGGGCAACTCGGGGAGACCTCATCTCTACAATAAATCGAAAAATTAGCCGGGCATGGTGGCACCTGCCTGTAGTTCCAGCTATTTGGAAGGCTGAGGCGGAAGGATTACCTGAGCCCAGCAGGTCAAGGTAGAGGCGGCTGTGAGCGTGCCACTGCACTCCAGCTTGGGTGACAGACTGAGCCTTGATTTAAAAAAAAAAAAAGGCTGGGTGTCATGGCTCAGCCCTGTAAGCCTGTCATCCCAGCACTTTGGGAGGCCGAGGCAAGAGGATTGCCTGAGCCTGTGGGTTTGAGACCAACCTGGACAATATGGTGAGTCCTTGTCTCTACAAGAAATCAAAAAATTAGCTGGGCATGGTAGCATGTGCCTGTAGTTCCGGCTACTTGGAAGGCCTACTTGGAAAGATTGCCTGAGCCCAGCAGGTCGATGCTGGGGTGTCTGTGAGCATGCTACTGCATTCCAGCCTGGGCGATGGAGTGAGACTCCAACTCAAAAAAAAAGAGAAAGAAACATGGTCTGAAAGTGGATAGTGGTGATGGTTGTACATTAGTGTCAGTGTACTTAATGCCCCTGAGCTATACACTTAAGAATGGTTAAAAAGGCAAATTTTATGTTGTGTCTATTTTACCACATAATAAATCAATTAAAAAGGAAAAAAAGAAAGTTTATGAGAAAATAACATTTGCATTAATTTTGGGGGAGTTCAGCTACTCTCAGCAAGGAAAGAAGACTGAAAAGAATGAGCAACTAGTCATTTCCTGGTTTCTCCTCAACAAGCTTTTCTCATTTTAATGGATATTAAGTCCAGAAGTCCTGAGATACTTTTGCACTAAAGGTAAATGCCAGGGAAGAGCATCTACAGGACTTCTCAGTTTCCAGCAGTTTGGGGTCATCTGCATTTCTATTAATAAACATAGTCAATAGAGGAGTATAGTAGAGTTTTCTCAAAATGAAGAATGAACACACAATAAACATACCACTGGGAAAAATGTTTAAAAGCAAAGAAAGTCTCTGCATTTTGGAGCGACATATTATGTGGATGCGTAATGTATACAATAATTGCTCTACTATAAACTCCTTTTCCAAAATCAGAGTTTATCACAGAAACATGAGTTTAAAAAATTAATTATCATGCCATGAATTGTATTCCATGAAAGCAAGATCTTCTTTTCTACTTATAAACAACAACAAAACGACCACATATGCAGATGCATGCCTCAGCACCTTGGTGTGATGGTGTATTTACTTGTATAAATATTTAAAGTCAGACCTTTGAATTTATAATTAAGAAGTACACCACTTTACAAAATAAGGTACTAGTAAATTTAGATGAATGACAAACAGAACTCTGTTCGGAATACTAATTGTTGCTGTTGATATTCTAAAACTAAAAAAAGTCATGATATCATTCAGATTCCATCTAAACCAGCCTAATACATGTGCAGAAATCTTTATAGGTCTTGATGAAGCCTGATTGGCAAAATTTTTAAATTATCAGACAGGATTTGTTGTAACTGAGGCACAAGCAAGCTTCTATCTGGCAAGATAGAGGAAAGAAAGAAAAGAGGAAAATCAGAAGTGTTTGTGGTTTGCCAGGTGATGATTTGGCTCTCGAGGGAGACTAACCTTTACACAGAGATGCAGGGGCTGGAAGGGTGTTACAGGTATGAATGTATCATGTGATGATGAAAAGCACAATATATATAGTCATTTTCCACCTCTGTCTTTGTTAACATAAGTGAAAGGTCATAAGTGTACCTTGAACAATTATAATACTATAAGAAAACGTTTGGCAGTAATGGGAAACTGTGGAGGGGGGGTGCTGGGATTAAACATGAACAGACACTTCTCATGGGATGACATACAAGCAACCAACAAACACATTTTATAAATGCTCAGTCTCACTAATTCTTAGAGACATGCAGATCAAAACTACAGTGAGATACCACCTAACTACTGTAAGAATGGATATTATTAATAAGTCGACCAGCTGAGATGCTGGTGTGGCTGAGGAGAAAAGGGGATGTTTCTACACTGTTGATGGAATGTAAGCTAGTTGAACCTCTATGGAAAGCA